ATTGTTCGACAGATTCCTGCGAAGCAGGCAGGCAGGCAGGCACACATGCACGCACGCACGCATGCACGCACACACACACACACACACAGATACACATGCACAAATGCATTCATACACACACACACACACACACACACACACACACACCATGTACCATGTATACGCCCGTCGCAAGAGAAGCACGCAAATCTGCAAATGCACTGGATGTGCACCCACAGATTTTTTTCTTATAGCAACGATAGCGAACAAGATCTGAATGAGACAGATCAAGACTTGCACCAGATAACTGTCTAATCCACACAACTGGCGAAGCCATGTGAATCGACCACCTATGCACACCTGGTCTACACCACACGGAGTACATCGGCATAAAACGGCCAAGACAGTTACCTATGCACACCCTACACTTGCTGGGGTAACCAGTATAGACAGCACGCTGCTTTGATAGAAGCAGACACTAGGTGCACTGGTACCTTGAAGTGAAATTGGAGTTACTTTACCAACCAGGCTCGGCTACTGAGTACTGGGAACCCAGAGCCAACAGACATACCAACAACCTCAGCCATGAAAGCTATATAGTAACGGCACACTGGATTGTGGGCAAGAAGGTAGCCTTCCGACAGGTTGGCACACACACACATACACATACACACACACACACACACACACACACACACACACACACACACAAGCGTACATGCACACACACACACACACACACACACACACACACACACACACACACACACACACACACACACACACACACACACACACACACACACACACACACACACACACACACACACACACACACACACACACACACACACACACACACACACACACACACACACACACACACACACACACACACACACACACACACACACACACACACACACACACACACACACACACACACACACACACACACACACACACACACACACACACACACACACACACACACACACACACACACACACACACACACACACACACACACACACACACACACACACACACACACACACACACACACACACACACACACACACACACACACACACACACACACACACACACACACACACACACACACACACACACACACACACACACACACACACACACACACACACACACACACACACACACACACACACACACACACACACACACACACACACACACACACACACACACACACACACACAAGCGTACATGCACACACACACACACACACACACACACACACACACACACACACACACACACACACACACACACATACATACACACACACACACACACACACATACACACACACACACACACACACACACACACACACACACATAAACACTTTCGTGCAAGCACACACAAACACACACACACAGGCGCGCGCGCACAATAAATTTAGTTCTGAACCTGGGTATGCAGGTGAGTGCATTTTGAGTTTGCGTTCACCATGACATGGCCAGCACCCCGGATCAAGGCTTGGCAGGGACAGGATCAATATGCACTCTTTTGGTGCGCTCACCCGTGAAAAAGCAAAACTGTTTGTTCCCAAGTCGATTGTCCAACCGGAATGTAGCCTATTCCTCCAATTACAAGTGGCACTTTCTGAACAACAGAGAACAACCAATCCCAGGTACGGCAATGAGACTTACACGCTAGTCAGGTTTCCGAACCCTTCAAAGAAATTGGCTGGCAGTGAAGACAGGCCGGCATTACTCAGTTTCCTGTGTCGACATAGACAGGCACATGTTAAAACAAGGACGACAGGCACGTGTTAACGACAGGCATATGTTAACAAGGATGACAGGCATATGTTTAAACGACAGGCACATGTCAACAAGGAAGACAGGCACATGTTAAATTGCAAAGAAGACAAGCACATGACAGTATTATGTCGTAAGACCATACAATCATAGTCATGACGCTCTACTCCACACTATAAACTGAACTTAGGAGCCTGACGCTCTAAATTGCCAATTTCTATAATTATCCCTTTATTACCGGATTACTTGCACAGCATGCACCAGAATTACGAATTTCAGCACAATTTCCAACTTCACCAGGTCATAACTTTGGTCTCCTTCACTTGATTTTCACAATCTAGGGCTCGTTAGAAAGCTATTGGCGAAAGCAACGCCAGGGTACCAAGCTCCCTTATCCAATCTCCACAAATCAGGCGCAGTAACACAGCAAAGTCGTCTCCAAGCCTGATATGCAAGCAAATTCGTCCCATCAACGCCATTCCACTCTCCTTCATCGCAGAACGCTCAAATTTGATTGAGACGATTCAAACTTCAGCCGACTACGTCATTATCATGTGTTTAGTCGCTCAAAGACCACACGAAAAGGGATTTCCCCCAAAAATGGCGAAGTGATCGATCAAAAGTTTGAATTTGCCGAGATGAAAATACGTCGCGCGATATCTCTGGCGTGCAACATCGTAACTCTTCTTTTTAGGATTATTGCATTGGATAGCTTGGAGTTTCCGCTACCAAATAGACCTTTCGATTGTTGAATTCGCACAAGAAATGATGGAGTTACGAAGATATTACTGGCCTACAGACTTTCGATCATATATGATCAAAAGTCTGCAGGCCGGTAATAAAGGGTTATTATTGAGAATAGAATGCGTTGATCATATCCTGGGAATAATGTGCTTTACAGTGGCAGTGCAAGAAACCGTCTTGAGCTCTCCCGTGGTATAGCCTGCTACGTGTGCAGCTCCTTAATCAATTTAGGAAAACTTCACTTCTCAACTCCGAAAATGGTCTCTTCACTGCGATTCAAATTAAAATTAAGATTTACAGTACACAGCAGTGTAAACCCAATTTAAATCTTAATCTGAATTTGAATCTCAGTGAAGACATGGTTTTTGGAGCTGGGAAGCGAAGTTTCCTGAATGTGTAAGTAGCTGCTTTAGAGTTTGCGGACAATTCGAAACGTTTATCCTTAATTAATATAAGAAAAAAATTAAAAAAATTTCACGGTTCGCGTCAGACTCGGTTGCTCTATATAGAGGCCGAGTTTTCCGCATCCGTAGGAACGCCACCACCCTTCAAGGATCAAGGCGCAGATGCAGCTCCTAAAGCGGTGGGAGGCGAGTAGATCAGCTCCCCACCATGTGGTCAAAGACCGAAAATCCCATTCACTGCATCTGTCATGACCCGGACTCGACTCGTCGTGAAAGCGACCACGCAATGAGATTCAGCAGCCAAAAGCTGGGCTCCGAAATATTCTAGAGTTCTGTAAGAACCATGATTAGTCCTGCGAAGGATTTGGCACTTTCGTTAGTTGAGCAATCATGGCTTACAACTCGTGGCCTAGAGTCGCAAGTGTTGTCGTACGTCGGCAACACCTTCAGTACAAGTCGTCAGCATTGTACTCACTACACTGTTGAGCTTGAGGGGACCCTGCTTAGTCCTGCAAGGGAGCTGATACCTTTGTTAGTCGAGCAAGCAAGGCCCCTCTTCTCGCGTCGTACGACGTAAAGGGTCCTGCAAGTGCTTCACGCACTGCGGACTCCGTTATCCCTTTTTGGGAGAGGTCGCGGCTTGACCGTGAAGCGCCCTACGGGGTAATGAGAGGGAAGAGCCTACGGGGCAGAAGATGAAGGGTGACCCAATCAAGACAGCGTACGGAGGCGGCGCGCTCTAGCTGCAGCAACACCCGACAGCGTACTCCAGGCTCCGTCGCACGATCGACGTACGAATAACCTCGGAGATCACTCATATTTGTAACACTATCATGTAATGTGGGTGAGCGAGCTCCCCGAAGCTATACTAAATATTTCCTACTAATTATTATATGAGCGTTAGCATGCTAACGCGAGTTAGCAGCCAGCCCAGCGAGCTGGCCCAACCTGCACGCATGCGCGAGTCACGTGGGCACGCGCCCTTCAATATCCTGTACAATGTCTCTTTCATGTCATTGCTGTTTGGACTTTCGAGCGTGCAACTTGCGGAACAGGTGTTCCCGAAACAATTTCCTTTCGTTAGACTTTCAAGCTTGCATTCTCGTATCTCTGCGTTTCAATTCAGACTTCATTGACGCCTGTTGGTGCCTGTTGGTGCCTGAAACAATGTCGTCGTCTACAGTGGAACGTCGACTGTGGTTTTTTAGCTTGCGCCATCATCAGGTTTCCTGAAATGAAGTACATCCACGCGATCTCAGCGACCCTTGTTTGTGCCTTGAAACAATGTCGTCGTCACCAACCGGCGTCCAGCCTCTCCGGATCGCCTCGCTCTACCTGGCTCCGCCGCCCGCCTACTGCGAACGCAGCGACGGCCGCCACGCAGCACCACCACTGCAACAGCAGGCGCGAGCCTGACGATCGTAATTCGTATCCAGAGAGGCGAGTTCGTGGACTTTGATTTTCTGTTGGAAGTAACAACGGGAGTTGTCCACTGCCGTCACCAACGCCACCCAGCTTCTCCTCGCTCTACTTGGATCCGTATCGCCGCTCGCCGCCAGCAGGCCGGACCCTACTGGGAGCCCGGTGCAGTGACGACCGCCATATGCGCATGCAGCACCAACAGCAGGTGAACCTGACTGTCCTATACGGGCCCTTCTTGATCGCGTCCAGAGAGGCGAGTTCGTGGACTTCGATTTCCTGCTGCCCGATACAGTTGCAGTCAGTCCAGCTCCGGCGACGTTCCAACTCCGTAGCCCCTCATGACATATGTTGCTCTTCTGGCGCACTAGCATTTATTTGAATCCGAACCCAGAACTGCGCTTCGTAGGCTGCATGACGGCAGCACTTGAGTTGAGACCTGGACAGTGTTCATGAATGGTCTGTGTTCCACTGTTCCTCACCGCGTTTCACGAGTGCCTGTGGACGTATTTGGCCACGATCGTCGCGGCCAATCGCCAGCTTTTGCCACCTAGAAACTGGACGTGATCAATACTCAATCTGCGGACAACTGTTTCGTCCTTTGTGGACTCATCAGCGCAGCACAGAGGGAATTAAGCCGAACCTGATAGCAATGGAAAATAAAATAAATCTCCAAAGCCAGGTTATCAATATCAACTTGTGGCAACTGCGCCTCGCGGTGTACTGGAACAGCACGACCCGCCTGCCAGCAGTGCAGCTCAGTGCACTCGCCAGCATTTCCGTGCGCATTTCGTCCTACTCACCAGTACAGATCCGCATCACGTACCGCAACCGTATGCCGCTACTACGAGTACGGCGCTTGCACGCGTCAGCTCAGGCAGTGCTACCTCCAGTGCCGACAGGAGCATCCCAGGGCAAAGTGTAAGGCCTCATCAGTAACTGTGTAAGCACTCAGTTTCTCACTTCTCAAAATTACTGGACTCACATCCTGATCCTATGCTCCGGAGGTATGTTGCACATGGTCGTAATTTTGGGGTTGTGGTAGGTTTCATCGGCAACCACTCAACTAACTGGGATCCATTGAATTTAACACGGTCACATGCTAACCCAGATTATATTTCTGCGCAACGATCCGTTTCTTGCAGCAGGCTTGGAACAGCTGGCCGATCCGTTTCTTGCAGCAGGCTTGAAACAGCTGGCCCGTGTTCTTCACCCCCTTTCTCGCCTCTGTGCTGTTCCGGCGTAGATGCGGTTCCTAGACGAACGGGAAGTTACACACGACACACCCTTTGTAAAGCCTGGAGGGTCGAAGTGTCAACGATTACATTCCAGCAGACGGTGTCTCTCCACAATGTCAAGATGACAATGCTGCAAACATGATTAGACAATTGCTCGCCCCGCTGTATCTTGCTAAGCTCAATGTTAAAAGTGCATTCTGCCGAATTCCCGTCTGCCCGGAGGAGTGGCCCTTGTTGAACCGCTGGCAGGATCAATACTGTTATGAGAGCGTCCTGCCCTTCAGACTGTACTGCACTCCAGGCCAGCTATATGGAACTCTGTCGCATCCGCCAGTGAATGGATTGTGTGCGGGCAGTTCGCACTCCCACGCCTGTTGCATTACGGGGAATACCTCAATTAATGTTACTTCCTCAATGCATGCTCTGGACTTGTGTTACCTCGCCAGCACTGAACTCGCTATTCTGCTCCGAGCGTTTACATACCTCGGTGTTTCTCTGGCCCCAGCAAAAGTGGAGGGTCCAGCTCAATTCCTGACGTTATTGGCATCTTCCCATTACGGGAAATACCTCGACTAACGTTTCTGTCTCCATGCATGCTCTGGACTTGTGTTAGCTCGCCAGCAACTCGCTACTCGGCACCGTGCGTTTACATACCTCGGTGTTTCTCTGGCGTCAGCAAAAGTGCTTCCTCGATGTATGCTCTGGACCTGTGTTAGCTCGCCAGCAACTCGCTACTCGGCGCCGTGCGTTTACATACCTCGGTGTTTCTCTGGCGTCAGCAAAAGTGGAGGGTCCAGCCCACGTCCTGACGTTTATCGGCGTCATCCTGGACACCCGCGCGCTCACATCAGTCTGCCGATGGACGAACTTGCCAAGCTTCACGACCTCCTACGGGCCACTCTCAACACAGCTTCAACTACCCAATGTCAACTCGAGTATCTTTTGGGAAAGCTCTCGTTTGCTACAAGAGTGATAGTCCCAGGACGCACATTGCAGATTGTGGTCACTTGCCAACTGGTACCGGCAGCCGTATTACCTGATCAAGCTCTCCGAAGAGTGCCTCAAATACCTTCGCTGATGGCCTTAGCTCCTGGAATACACCCTAAGTGGACGCCGTCCCCCAACTTGCTGCTATTCACTGATGCAAGTGGTGCACTTGGCTGGTGCGCAAACAATTGCAACCGGGGATAGGGCAATGGACAGTCAATCAAGCAGACCAGCCAATCGCAAAGAGTGGTTTGCAATTGTGGCAGCACCTGGAAAAGCTAGCGGCACCAGCAGCAGATGCCAATCGATCGGCTTTGCAGCAACTGCGAAAATCTTGCTCATCAGTTGTGGCTATGGCCTGGCGTCATACACCGGCCACTCGTTTCGAATCAGCTGCCGGACTCGATATTCAGAGAGGCGGGAAGGTGGAAAGCCATGTCTGCCCGAGTAACATTCAGAGGCCACCAGCAGCCAAAGCATGGGTGGCTGTGGCAATGGCCTCAGCCCATGATATCGAGTTCCTGTTAGTCAATCGTTACCGAGCTTGCACTGCTTACAAATATCACAGGTAGCTGCACTTTGTGATCCGCTCTGGGAGTGCCGATTTATGGAATATATGCTCTCAACTGGTTATGCATCTCTATATATCTAGCATTTGGCGGCTCTATTCAGAGTCATTGGCGGCTCCATGCGGAGGCATTGGCGGCTCCATGCGGAGTCATTCGGCGGCTCCATGCGGAGTAATTGGCAGTTCCATGCGGAGTAATTCGGCGGCTCCATGCGGAGTCATTCGCTGGCTCCATGCGGAGTCAATTGCCGGCTCCATGCGGAGTCATTCGCCGGCTCCATGCGGAGTCATTCGCCGGCTCCATGCGGAGTCATTTGCCGGCTCCATGCGGAGTCATTCGCCTGCTCCATGCGGAGTCATTTGCCGGCTCCATGCGGAGTCATTTGCCGGCTCCATGCGGAGTCATTCGCCTGCTCCAAGCGGAGTCATTTGCTGGCTCAGCTGCGAGCCATTATACCAGTTGCTCGAATCGGCACTCCCAGCTTAATGCAAAACTCGGTTGCTCTGTTGTGAGGTGGGGGGATGCTAAATGAGCGTTAGCATGCTAACGCGAGTTAGCAGCCAGCCCAGCGAGCTGGCCCAACCTGCACGCATGCGCGAGTCACGTGGGCACGCGCCCTTCAATATCCTGTACAATGTCTCTTTCATGTCATTGCTGTTTGGACTTTCGAGCGTGCAACTTGCGGAACAGGTGTTCCCGAAACAATTTCCTTCCCACCCTCCCACCCACTAGCTCAACTCATGTTTCTGGCGCACACATGACGGTATCTGTATAGTCCATGAGAATATATGCTCTCAACTGGTTATGCATCTCTATATATCTAGCATTTGGCGGCTCTATTCAGAGTCATTGGCGGCTCCATGCGGAGGCATTGGCGGCTCCATGCGGAGTCATTCGGCGGCTCCATGCGGAGTAATTGGCAGCTCCATGCGGAGTAATTCGGCGGCTCCATGCGGAGTCATTCGCTGGCTCCATGCGGAGTCAATTGCCGGCTCCATGCGGAGTCATTCGCCGGCTCCATGCGGAGTCATTCGCCGGCTCCATGCGGAGTCATTTGCCGGCTCCATGCGGAGTCATTCGCCTGCTCCATGCGGAGTCATTTGCCGGCTCCATGCGGAGTCATTTGCCGGCTCCATGCGGAGTCATTTGCCGGCTCCATGCGGAGTCATTCGCCTGCTCCAAGCGGAGTCATTTTGCTCAGCTGCGAGCCATTATACCAGTTGCTCGAATCGGCACTCCCAGCTTAATGCAAAACTCGGTTGCTCTGTTGTGAGGTGGGGGGATGCTAAATCACAATTATACTATAACAAAATCACATAAAAGCCGCCTTCTTCAACCGAATAAAAGTATCTTTGACCGCTCCCCTTCAACCTTCGACTACCTTGTGTGAGCCGGAAAACAGGTGAGCTACTTATCTGCTTGAGTCAACTATATTGGTTGACGACCTGGTGCCACTAGATGGATCACCGGCCATGACATTTGGTGCTGTGACCAGGATCAAGCGATAATGCTATAACATTGTTATGTGTGTCTCCTTCTTGAACAGTGTTGAGAATGGCTGACAGACAGCAACAGCGTGGCGCACCCGAGGCGCGACTTCCACGACATGCTGCGCATCAACAAGAACTGATCGTTGCATTGCAGGCAGGTGCCTCAGCACTGGAGGCCCTGCATCGGCACTCGCATGCCCAGAAGCTCCGGGCTATCGCAGGCGGACTGACGTCCATATTAATGGCCCTGAAGAAATTCTCGGCCGCAATTGAAGAGGGCCCTCCCCCGAAACGACCAAGACTCGCAACGGCGGCAACGCCTCGTAATCGTGCGCATGACGACGCCGTCACTGCAGCCCGAGACGCCGCAAAGGCTGAACGTGAACGCCTGACGGCAACGACCGACGCGGCCGTCGACGACGCCGCCAGCTTGGCCTCGGCCGAAGCCGAGATGTTGTCATAACTAAGTATTAGTTACTTGAAAGACGGCCCTTGAGGCGAACTGGAACAAACTTGTGTTTTGTGTGTCAAGCATGAGGGTTGATATTGGACTAGTGGTATAAACTAGTTCCAAGGGCTGCATGTACAAGGTAGTCAAACGAGGACGCACCCCAGCATGCTGCGTAGCTCCACACCCCTGGGCTCTTGAGCCAGGAATGGGAGAAATCAGACTAGCAGTAAGTTGTACTCATAGTCTGACTAAAACCAGCGTAGCCTGGCCAGATGGGGTCAGCAGGCCAGGAACGTCGGTTCAGAAAACTTCTACGGGAAGTGAATGAGGTGTGACTGGTCACACCTGAGCGGTACTCCAGGACCGGTACTATAGGTACTAGGTAGTAAATCCTCTACAGTCTACGGAGTTCGTAACATTGCACGGTGTACTATTGACACAATGACTGGCGACAGTCCGCATCCATAAGAAAAAAGAAACTTTCTAATTGTCCGCAAACTCTAACTAAAGCAGCCATTTACACATTGAGGAAACTTCATTTCTCAACTCCAAACTACAAAAACGGTCTCTTATGATGATGGGCCAGGCCCGAAAATTTGGTGTAATGTAAATTTTAATTTTAATCGCAGTGAAGAGACTGTTTTTGGAGTTTGGAGTTAAGAAGTGAAGTTTTTAAAAAAATTGGAAAAAAATACATATTCGCAATGCCCCAATAAACTCTATAATGACACAGCTCTTTACTTACAGAGTCGTCAAGTTAGCGAATTTGGTGTAAAAAAGTAAATTATCGTATCCGTTCCCGAAGGGAACTCACGACGGCCGCTAACACCCGATAAACCCTAGCGGCAGATGCAGCGCCTAACGGTGGGGGTGAGTGGGTGAGTCTCACAACCACTGGCACAAGCTCTTTACTACACAGCTCTTAACTTACAGAGTCGTCAAGTTAGCGAATTTGGTGTAGTTCTCTGCATCAATGCCAAGTCCGAGTGCATTACCACTTGCATCCCTGGAGCGATAAGGACAACAAATGACGCAATGGGTTTATGAATAATACTCCCGCTATTAATTTTGATCTTGAGGGGCAAGTGCACTAAAACGGTACACACTGTGATACCAATCCTGCATCAAAGGTCACTATCTCTGTACGATCATGCCCACAAATGTACTACAACTGGCTGTATCTGCCAAATATGGGACAAGTTGTCCCTCGGGAAGGTGGCGGCCATGTTTTATGCATAAAGTCATAAACCCCATTGCATTGCGGACGTGGGAATACTGTAAATATACAAATTTTCGGCAGCTATTTAACCTTTTGAGCCCGGGCCCATTGAAAACCTCTGCCGCGCAGTAAAAAAATTTAATTCACTCTATGTGACCAAACTTGATTTCAAACAATTCTTTCATGTATCCTGAGCACAGAACTGTTTTCGTTTTGAAAATACGACAAAGATTACAAAAGTTATGACCGTTTTCATAAGGTAGTTATATGCGAAATTGGTATTTGGAAATGTATGCACGCGCATGTAACTCCAGTTCAAACTTACGGAGCGACTCGCACTTTTTTTTACGGTACGCGTACATACTAGGAGTCCTCTGTGCAGCGGTACAGCTCGACGCCACGCCACGGAAGAAACGCGGGATCGATGTAGTTCCGCACTGACTCGTGACGTCCTAGAACGTCACGCGTGTCACAGTGGCAGTGGTCATGACGTGTCAGAACGTCACGCGTGCTCAAAAGGTTAATTTCGGCTGTATTCGGCACCGACCCAAAACGCCGATGAAATTTTTTTCAGCATCTGTCGCACTATACCATGCCCTCTACCCCACACCAAAAATAAATCGCCGCCGAAATGTCAAAAATCGTGACGTGTCGAAATTTTTCAGCACCGAAATTTTGTATATTCACAGTAACTAGCAGGTGCCATCTTTGAAGCCAGTCTCCAGCTGCTGGGACGCTTTGTTGTAGGTTTCGGGTGCAGTGTTGAAGAGTTCCCGCTAAGGAAATCAGAGTGGTGTTGTCTGCAAATTGGCTACAGGTTGTGCCTGGATTCTCACGTGCATGTGGAAGGTCTATGGTGTAGACGAGGAATAGAAGCGGCCCAAGAAGAGATCTTTGAGGGACACCGGCAAGGATCTCGAGGAAAGGCGATAGGTCGCCATCCACCTGGACCCTTTGCCGACGCCCCAACAGGTACCATCGGAATCACTCCAGTGCGTTACCCCGCACACCATAGTGGGAACGTTTTGCTAGAAGACCTGCATGCCACACACGATCAAATGCCTGGCTGAGGTCGAAAAAGCAGGCTGTGACATGTTTCCTATTGTCTCTCGCAGTTGAGAGGGTATGGACAAGACGAGCAAGCTGCTGTTCAGTGCTGTCTTTCTCACGGAAACTGGACTGCTGGTTGGGTGGGCGGGGTGTTATATGCTTGTAGGGGTGTCGGTGTAGAATGTTTCCTGGGTTTTGATGTAGTGCTCAAGAGAGAGATATGTCTATAATTTGTTGGCTGTGTCGGGCCACCAGGCTTGGGCACTGGAGTAATGGTGGCGTCTTTCCACTCCCGTGGGATTTCTCCGGTTTGGAATGATAGGTTGAAGAGGGACGATAACAACGGTGCCAGTTCTTTAGCTGCTTCTTTGAGTAAGCCGTTTGGTATAGAGTAGAGCCCGGCGCTTTTGTTGGCGTCAACTTCGCGAAGGAGTTTTTCGACCTCAGCTTGACAGGTCGAGATTTCTTGAAGGGGCCTGGGGATGACAGGGGTGGTGTTGATGGATGAAGTTTGCTCATCTGCATTGGCCACAGACAGCTTGTTCTGTGAAATGAAGAATTCATTGAGGGTAGCGGCTTTTTGTGCTAGTGTCGTTTCAGGAGTTGTTTGGCTCACGAGTTCGGGCATGCGGTGTTTTGCAACTGTAGTTAGGTGCTTCATGAGGCGGTGTAGGGAAATAGAGGAGGCTGTTGAGTTGTTTATAGGGGTGAAACAATTATACCGAATATTCGAATACTCGTTTGGATTTTTCAAATATAATCGTACTCGGAATAAATCAGAGTACTCGCTCATACATGGTACATGCATTTACCACAGAAATCTGCAGTTTCACAGCAGCAGTCGGCAGATATTGATGTGCAGACTGTGTGGTTAACATTTGTTCACCAGTAGAGAGAGCCCAAATGACCCACCAATCAATACACTCGAGAAAAGGACTGCCGATTGGTTCAATCAGGGTTGTATCATGTGATTATTAAGGCCCTTGGTGTGCGATTTTTTAGGATATCAAGAATACTCGAATACTCGAATATTCGATCGGAGAAAATCAGAGTACTCGAACTCGGGATCTCAGTGCCAACTTTCACCCCTAGTTGTTTATAAGTCGGATTTTGCACGACGCAGGAGAGTGACGACACGGTTTCTTTGGGCAGTGAATGTGTTCCAGTCGCCAGGTGAGCGCGAGTGACGGTAAATTCTGTGTTTTCTGTGCTTATCCTTGATCTCTTTCAAGACTGAGGCCCTTTGATATCCATGGTCGTGCTGGCACTTTCTTCTGTCCCTGGGAGGATGGGTGCACAAGTTGCGTGGTAGGTTGCTATGTGTCCTTGTATTGTGGTTTGACCGAATTGTCTAGTTGTGTTGCCAGTATCGTCATCGACATGGATGTACATCCGCCAACATCCTTCACAGCTGAGACTTTCAGCTTGTGCTTGTCTTGGTTGCGCTCACCTTACCCGCCTAGGTTTTCATATAACTTAGAACCTTCCAAGTTGGAAGGCTGTTGGAGTGCGCACCCGTGACGTGCTAGAGCTGATAGGCAGTTGTTGCAGAACGTCAGTACTGTCGGTCACTTTTGTGCAATGTTATCGTATGAGACAGTCGGTGAAACGAGCGCCAAAATTGAGGACTCGAGTACTCTTTGAAAAACAAACGAGTATTCGAGCGAGTACGAGTATTTTACTGACAACATAAAACAATGTACTGCCCAAACTCTCGTAACACCGAACGCAGTACACCTGAAACACATGTAGCCTTGCATGCAGCCTAGTGCAGGAAATAGTCTGAACTACTGTCTATTGCTGGTAAGTAACAAATGTTACGGGTCCGCGTACCGGGCAGGTCAAGAACAAGGAGTCAACTCCCTGGTCAAGAACCACCTTTCCGTTTCTGTGGGACGCCACCACCCCATGATCAGGCGTCAGATGCGGCTCCTAAACGGTGGGGAGGATAGATCAGATCCACCAGCCAGAGGCCAAAGGCCTAAATCCCATTTGCCACAGTCGCAGCACGGTTGGAAAAAATCCTTCCGCTTCCAAGCAGGACTTGAACCTAGTACCTCTCGTTTCTCAATCATGGTCTTAGACCAACCCACTATGCATATGCTGGTAAGTAGGGACATGCACTAATTTCGCGCTTGCATGGGCTATCAGTACCGGTTGGAGTAACAGAAATGCTTGGCGGTACATGCATACTGTACACTGTACATAGGATACTTCGAGTATTTTGCGAAATTAGTACTTGCTCGTTTCAAATTTTCGAGCAAGCGCTCGAGTACTCAGTATACTGCGTTTCAACCCTACTGATTGTCAAGTAACTGGTGGTGTTAGTGGACATTATAGCGTAACTTGTACTTCCTTGGTCCTTTTCTTCACTATAAATTAATCGTTGGCTCTCCATCCGAGTCTAATAATAATAATAACAATATTAGTTACAGTTCGCATGTCACTCATGGAAGAATCCATGGGCTGCACACATCTGTCAATGAAATCCAGGCAGAAGAGCCAACGAAAGCCATTTCTATATTGTTAGAACGTATAGCAGTAAATAACAATTACGCAAGCGCAGCACATTTTTCCACAAGCATCAGCCAATTTTTCTTCATCATGTGTTGCCAAAGATCAAAAGTGGAACGAACTTGTACATCACAGCTACTACAGCCGAAGCAGAACAACGGACAGACGATGAACAGACACCGTCAGCTACTACAGTCAAAGCAGAACACCGGACAGACGATGAACAGACACCGTATCTGCTTTACCAGCGCAGAAAATAGATATGCACTTGATCGTACTGTGGGTCATGCGCTGCGTTTCTGTCTCTTTTGTTGTACATGCTGCTGGGTTCGTGTCCTTTCGTTGTACATGCTGCTGCACTGTTGTACATGCTGCTGCACTGTTGTACATGCTGCTGCACTGTTGTACATGCTGCTGCACTGTTGTACATGCTGCTGCACTGTTGTACATGCTGCTGTACCGTCTTCTGTCCGCCGCGTACGTACTTCCTGTCCTGGTCCCCCCTTGGGACAGCATTGTATCTGGCATCTGCTGTCTTGGTCTCCCTTGCCGTTCGGGTTTTTTTTGTTGCTCCACTTTCTTGGCTATATTACCTTGTCTCGCTCGGTCTCGTTGTCATTTATCAGTCTCTTTGTCAGTTGTCCAGGCGTCTTCTGAGAGTAAGAACGAAATTTTCTTTCTCCAACGAAACTGTTTGGCCTTTTTGTTTTGTGGCGTAGCCGCGAAGGGGCAGCAGTTCGTCAATTATCTAGACGACAATACTTCTTCCGCAAGCGACGCAAGTTAGTTGCGCATCCCTGGACCTGCAAAACCTGGCCTGAGGAATGGTGCACGGCGCAAACTTGACCCATGCGAGCGGATTTCAGTGCGTAGCACTGTGCATCAGGAGTGAGGTAATTAATTAGTGCAGACATGACTGCACTGGACATGTCCAATACCCTTATATGGACTTACAGTGTCTTCAGATCACCTCCATTGACGTACTCAGACACATTGGAAACTCCGGTGTAAGCAATATCTCTGCAAACAGAAAGAAACGGCTCAACATCATGGCGCTGGTCATTACATTCACAAACTGGCCGTTTCGTGTGTGTGTGTGTGTGTGTGTGTGTGCAAGTGTGTGTGTGT